TAGGGGCGGGCAGGCGCGGGTGGGATGGGGATACACTTTCCCGGGCGATGGAGGCCCGGGTCTCGGATAATCCGCGTTCTCCGCGAGTCCTCAGACCTGGCGGGCAGTTCCTCAAGTTAGGGAAGGGGTATCCCCAAGTGTTCGCGCAAAGGTTGCGAAAGGGCGCGGAGGGCAGGAGCGCTCAGTTCTCCCTTCCGCGACCGTACTCTTGGAGCGAGACCCAGGAGGTTCTCCCTGGACTTGGCGGTCCGGGGTCCGGCGGGTCACCTCGGGGGCGCGCCCGAGTGCAGCCCGCAGCCCGTGGTTAACCGGCGGTGTTTTCTTCTCCCTGGCTGGCTCTCGTCGGGGCGTCGCAGAGCAGACCTACGGCGAAGTGAACCAGCTGGGCGGTGTGTTCGTGAACGGCCGCCCCCTACCCAACGCCATCCGCCTGCGCATCGTGGAGCTGGCGCAGCTGGGCATCCGACCCTGTGACATCAGCCGGCAGCTGCGAGTCTCCCACGGCTGCGTGAGCAAGATCCTGGCTCGCTACAACGAGACCGGCTCCATCCTGCCCGGGGCAATCGGAGGCAGCAAGCCGAGAGTCACCACTCCCAACGTGGTCAAACACATCCGGGACTACAAACAGGGGGACCCCGGCATCTTCGCTTGGGAGATCCGTGACCGGTTGCTAGCCGACGGCGTCTGTGACAAGTACAACGTGCCCTCGGTGAGCTCCATTAGCCGCATCCTGCGGAACAAGATAGGCAGTCTGACGCAGCCCGGGCCGTATGAGTCCAGCAAGCAGCCGCCACCCCAGCCCGCACTACCGTACAACCCCATCTACCAGTATCCCTATCCCAGTCCTGTGTCGCCCACGGGCGCGAAGATGGGCGGCCACCCCGGGGTCCCCGGCTCGGCGGGCCATGTCAGCATCCCGAGGTCGTGGCCCTCGGCGCATTCGGTCAGCAATATCCTGGGCATCCGGACGCTGATGGAGCAAACAGGTCAGTCCGCCTCCCTCGCCCTGCCGGGGGACCACTCTGCCCGCCACCTCGACTGCTTCTGCCACTGGAGAGAGCTCGGGGCTGCCCCGGGAGGCTGGGAGGCTGGAACTTACTGTGGGAGCCCTCGGACATCTTGAATATTTTATGACAAATATGGAAAATATTTTCCAAACGGAAGAGCTGTTGCCGACATCGAATTCGGAGGCTTGAAATCTCGCTTTTCCAAACTTGCAAAAAGAATGCAAACCCCCTTGTCTCCAAATCTAAGCCAAACAAATTGCCCTGAGATTCTGAGACCTTTTTTTTTTTTTTTTTTTTTTTTTTTTTTTTTTTTTTTTTTTGCGCCCTTTATTTTTTTTTTTTTTTAGCTTTTGGGACCCTTGCTGTTCCCCAAGGATCTTGTCTCCCCCCCTTGGCCCAGAAAAGGGACCCAGCCTGTGGCGTGGCCTAGATCTCTAGCTGCTCTATAGCCTTGCAGGTTCTGGAGCTGGGTTTGTGGGTGCTGGCAACCTTAGACTGTAGCAACCACCACAAACACTCACTCTTCACCTGCGATTAAAACTCTACCAATTGTTGGTCATCTCTTGTGGATGAGAAAGAAAAAAGTTTGGGGAAACTTTGTTGTCTGGCTGAGGGGAGGGTGGGTTGGCCTAAACCACATCTCTTCAACTAGGCTTGGGTGGTGTTTGTTCTCTCCTGCTAGGTGATTTGGTAGGAGAGTAAGAAGCAAATTCATCTTAGTCTAGGGGTGAAAGAAACTGCCCTTAGTCCATGGGGTGAGCCTCTGAGGCCTGAACACTGCTTCTCGCAGTAGCTCTACCCAGTCTGGACCGGGTGGCCTGGTAGGGGTGGCTTGCTCAGGCTTGCCACATCTCTGGAACATTCTCTGGTTCCCTGTGCACACACCTCAGCCAGGAGCCACTGGGTGTCTGGGTAAGCAGGTGGATAGTTTCTTGGGAGATAGTTCAGGATCAAACTGTCCCCTTCAGATGCTTCGTGAGACACTGAAAAATATGCATTATTTTGTGAATTTCAACTTAGACCCTTCTGGATGTCACCTCTGCTTGGTGGGGTCGTGGCCCCAGGCCCAAAGTACTTCACAGGACACTGTTTCGTGGGAAGCGGGTCTCAGGCTAAAGGCAATGAGGAACAGGCCCTGAGCCCCTGAGCCTTCCTTGCCATTGCCTGCCCTGCTTAGAGGGAAAGCAGTGCCACTTCCACCTCCCACTGCCCAGGGAGCATTTGTTCACCCCAAGGGTTTGCTGGGACGCTGGCACTTGTGCTGGATGCCAGCCAGATGGTTGCGGGCGAGCTTAACTGTCTAGGCTGGAGGGCCACTTGGGACAGCACAGGGTGCCTGCCTTCTGACCCACCTTGTCTCCTCCGCAGGCGCCCTGGCTGGGAGTGAAGGCGCTACCTACTCCCCCAAGATGGAAGAGTGGGCCGGGGTGAATCGTACTCCCTTCCCTGCCACTCCTGTGGTGAACGGGCTTGAGAAGCCAGCCTTGGAGACGGACATTAAATACACCCAGGTAACCCCGAGGTGGAGGCAAGGAGATAGATGACCTCCACCAGGGGATAAGGGAGAGGAAGGATTGCGAGGTTTCCTGGAGAACTCGCGATTTTCTGTTCTTTTCGGGTTTGGAGAGGCTCCTTTCCGGGACATCTTTGCTAATAAAGGCAGTCTCCTGGACTGAAGATTCTCCTGGACTCCCTGGCCAAACTCCGACTTTCTAGCTTTTTATTACCTTTAATAACATTTGGGTAGATTAAAAAAAAATCACTTTGCCGCGGGGTCCTGGCTAGGAGAATGAAAGGCCAAGTCTTGCACATAAGATCGACTGGGTGGCGGTCAGGGAGGCTGTGGCGGGGCTGACGTATCTCTCCTCCGCAGTCTACCTCGGGGCTCTCAGCCGCCATGGGCGGCTTCCTCCCAGCCTGCGCCTACCCGACCTCCAACCAGCACAGCGTGTACAGCACGCCAGGCGGAGGCTACCTCGCCCCGGGCCCGCCTTGGCCACCAGCGCAGGGACCCCCGCTGGCGCCGCCCGGGGCTGGCGTCTCAGTGCACGGCGGGGAGCTCGCTGCAGCCATGGCCTTCAAGCATCCCAGCCGAGAAGGTGAGGGGCGCAGGAAGCAACAACTGACAGGGCGAGGAAGGGCTCCGGGAGCCTGGGGAAAAGAAAGAAGGAAGCGAGGGAGGGAAGGAGAAGGAGGAAGACTGGGCTTCGCGCTAAGCGTAAACCCTTTCCAAGTGTTCAGTCTGTAGCCTCTGGGAGCATCAACAGGTGCCCCTACTAGGGAACGCGAAGTCAGCCTGAAAACGGGACTACTGGGTTTGCATCTAGTTTCTGTCTTGACTACATTAGTGCCCGTTTCGGCCCTCAGTTTCGGTGTCTCTCAAAGGATCTAGAAGGCACCATCCACACTTGTTTCTGTGTGGTCAGAGAAGCCTTGCTTGCTGTGCAGCTGTCTTGGCCCTTGAACTGTAAGGGTGGGATCGGGCTTTCATCTGAATCCACACCTGGATCCTTCCAGTGGTAGCTGCTTCTCCGTTTCTTCTAGGCTTTTTTCCCCTTATAAATCAGATCCCAGTCTACCCCTCAGATTATTTTTCTTAAACATATTGGAAAGGAAAGGCCAGGGATTTAGCTCAGTGGCACTGTGCCTGCCTTGCAAGCGCAAGGTCCTGAGTTTGATCCCTGGAACCAGGGGAAAAAATTAAACATATTAGAAAGGAGTGTTTCAGTCACATGTCTCTCATTCTAGATTTTCTTGCACTCTGTGTTTTGGGGTTCTTTCTGAAGGCAGTATGACTGGGACTTCTGCATTACTTTTTCTCCCTCCTCCTGTGCTCCCTCTTCCTCAAATCTGTTCCCTAATAAACCCACCAGGAGATTTCAGGGATTTAATGGATGGTTAGCAGTGAGAGGGTCATCAGTTTACACTGCCCACTGGGTTCTGGTTTTCCCTTTACTTTTGGAAAAATTCACCTGCCTTTGAATTTCCAAATGTTTGGCTGGATTTGCTAATTTTGAAGCTGCCTGTGTTTAGATTGCTAGCACCAGGAGTTTGCAATTTCTTAGCTCCTGGGGTAGAAAGGTGGATAGGTGTTACGTCAAGAGGTTCCAGTCTCAGCAAAGAGGACTGGCAGGAAACCTGTAGGGTTTCCTGGGCTAGGGGGTTTCTGGATTATAGCAGAGTCTTTATTGGGGTACCTGACTGGCACCTGGGGAGGTGGTGGCAGGTGTCAGGGCAGGCAGGTGACAGGAGGGGCTTCCTTCTACAAAGTGCTACTTGCAAGTAGTCTTGATGAGGCCCACTGACAGGATCTTGGGGTAGTGTTGGGATTGAGGTGCTGTCCAGAGAAGTGACTTGCAGGAAAAATATCGTTTTTCTCTTTCTACTTTTCCTAGGAAACATATCCTGGGATATTAGGATAATGCTCACTTACCCAATTAGAGACAAATCCAAGAAAAGAAAGTTAATGAAAAATTGAGAATTAGAACTCCTTTAAAACTTGATTTAAAAGTAACAGTAATACCATTTGCTCCATTAGAGAAAAATCCAAGTAAAGGAATTTTTAAAACAGAGACAGCTCTTATTGGCCTCATACAGACTGGGTTCTTATCCTGGACCTTCCCTGCACACCTCCACACCCGGGCTATCTGCTGAAATAAAAAAACAAATGCGATTTGCCTCACTGCAGAATCACTTTACCGAACAAGCTCTTTTGAACTCAAATAATTTATCCATGAATTTAAATCATTTCTTCTGGGTTAATCCCAAAGAAAAGGAATCCTTAGAAAAAGGAAGGACCCACCCCACCATCTTCCTAGGGATGCAGTCATTTCCAAATTAGCCACTGGGTCCTGGGACATTTCAAATCCTACATTAGAAACAAATTAGGAAGGGTAGATGAGACCTAAAAGTAAAAGGTCAGTTCTTAATTTGTAATGGTTTATAGTTAATTCAGAAGGGAATGCAAGTTTAACTTTTGGATTTATTGGTGGCTGGTTTTCTTTAGTGAATACAGAAGCTTCCCTTTCCTAAATACAGAGCTGTTGAGCAGCTACATTCAAGTCCCCTTTATGATCAGGTCAGAGCTGTTTGCTGCTAGGAAACATTCCACCCATTTTCAAAATCCATAGCCATAATTGGCTAACTGGTTATAAATTAATATTTTAATGTCTGATCTTCACAGTTATCAAAAAGGTTCAGGTAAAGAATCATGGAATAACTCAGGCCCATCATTAATACCAAATTTTCAAGTTGACATGCAAGCATTTGTGTTCAAGGAATACAAAAACAATCATTCATTACATATCTACTTTCACAGCATGAGAATTACATACACAGTTGGTTTATGAATTTTTACTCTTCTTATGGGCAAAAAAACTGCAAAGACATTTTGTTCCTGGAACTAGTTTTTAAAAAGACAAAGTAAAGTGTAGAAATGATCATACTTTATTTTTAAACCAGTTCTTAAAAAATTAATATATTTAAATAACTCTACCCCATAAGTCAGGCTGCTATTATTACTTGTTGTTCAGTTCATAATAGTAGGAATGGCATTTCCTAAGTTTCTTTTCAGTAAAAAATACTTTTGATCATCTATCTAATGTATATATACAACACAAAAAATGATATCTATCCATCTAACTGTGCATCCTTTAAATTAGATGAACATCTAACAGTTTCTCCAAGAAAGCGTAATTGAATGTCAAATTAAGCATCACAACTGATCAATTTTTTCCTGGTAAAAGGAGAGGATCTGGTCACCTTCACGTTTCCTGAAAGGATCAGAGAAACAAGAAAGTCCACTTCTATCCAGATGTTTTTCCATGGCCAGGATAAACGCCCCCTCCCCAAAGTGACAGCTGCTATTTACCTCCTGCTTTCAGCACCCTCAGTGAAAGATTTGGAAATCAAATCTGTAAGATGTTGAATATGCACAAAGAAACTGCATTGTTTACATGTGTTAAAGATAACTTGCAGCTTTGTTCCCCATATCTCTGCTGGGGGATTAGTTCTTAGAGGATCCTAAAAATGAATTTTGTCAGATATCATCAGGTCGCTGACATTCGAGAGTCCTAGGACCCCGCTGCCAGTCTGGGGCTTATTTGACCCAGCCCTGGGCTAACTTTTGTTCACAGAAATCCCAGCCCTGAGGTTTAAAAAATATCCCTGCCCCCAGTTCAGTGAACTGTGGAACCCCGAGGCTCAGGCTCCTGGGGCCAAAGACACTCACCTGGGGTCCCTTGGGAGGGAGGAGGGATGGAATCCTCTGCCAGCCCCATGTTTATTTTTAACCACTGCTTTATTTCTCACTTATCTCTAAGGGAGCCTAGATGGACTGAGAAACATCCCCTCCTCGACTTTCTGAGTAGGTCCATACTTTAAAGTGTGTGTGCTGGGTGGAAAGAGAAGGTCTTTCTCTGTCCTTGGCTGGGCAGTCATACCGTTTAGGAAGGAGCGCTGAGAGGTAGCTGAGGGCTAGCGGTAGAGTTGCTCTGTTCTGAAAATATCCTAAGATTTCTTTACAAATCTATGCGAATGTAGATGTGTGCATGCCTGACACCCCCGCTTTCCCTGCAGGTTCTGCAGTCACAGCAAGCTGGTCTGGGGCTGGGAGGAGGACAGCTGCAGGGGAAAACGCGGAGCTCCGGGTCACCCCAATGGAGGCGCCCCACGTTAGCCCTTTAGTGCAGTATTTTTTGGGGGGTAAGACAGCGAATTGAAAACAGGCCCTGTAAGGTAAAAACAACGTGTGCTCCGGGTGCTGGAGAACCGGAGCTGCCTTGATCTGCAGAGGGAAAGAGGGTTGAGAAATCCTGGCGTCACTTTCTGGCTTCCAGTAGCACAACTTGGGCCCCTTCCCGAAACCCCAAATAACAGAGCAGCAGGCAGAACACCGCCTGACCTGGCAAAGTCCCGGTCACTTAATCCGATGCCCAAGGGCCTAGGATGAGGTAATGAGCGGTCTGTCTGGGGGCCCTTGACCTCGGGGAAACAGGAAGACTATTGCTTGCCACAGCAATTCTCAGAGACCCTTTCTTATAGGTGTCTGAGCAGGCAGCAGGGCTAGGTTCGATCTAACTCCCCGCCAAACCGAAGCCTCGGCCCTTAGCCCGCACCTCTATACCCGAACCCGCTCCGGTGACTTGCCGAGCGCGGGGTCCCGGGGACGCCTGTGTTCACCACCTGAGCTAGACGCGCAATGGCCCCGGGGAGACGCAGGTGACACCTCCTGAGGAAGGGAAGGCGGTGCCTCTGGGCCTGGAGCTCGTGGTCCCTGCGCCCCACAAAGCGCTCCGGGGATGAAGGCCGGTGTCGCCGGGAGGTGATCAATGACGCCCTGTGCTCCTTCCAGCAGGCTCCGACCGGAAACCCCTTAGCCCCGGCAGCAAGGCCGCGGATGCCCTTAGTAGCTTGCACGGACTGTCGCTCCCGGCCACCTCCTCCTAGGGCCACTTGCCCTTGTCCCGTTGGAATGCGGAGGGGATGGGCTGAGGACTCGAACACCTGAGGACCCTTGGATCCAAGCACCGGAGGATCCGTGGATAAGAGGACCCGCGGAGCCACGGACCCAAGGAGGACCCGCGAATTTGAGGACCTGAGGAACCATGAAGTGGCATAAGGAGGAGTGGGCGAGGCAGATAGCGCCCCTTCCCAGCCCCGTGGCCGCACGTCTTCCGTGGTGCTCCCTGTTCCTTAGCCTTCCTGAACTTTGGCTGCAGACTCTTGGGCACTGACATAGCCCTTCTTTAGGTGTGGTCTTCCTACTCTGCCAGCCTCAAATTCCCCTTTGTCCTCCTTTGTTCTTCTTTCTCCCTCTTCTCATCCCCACCCTCCTTTCCTCAGTTTCCTTTTCCTTCTTCCCTCCCTTCCAGCCCACCTTCTTTTCCTCCCCTCCCTCACCGTCCTTCCTCTCTCCATCCCTCAGGGTGGCAGAAGCCCTCAGTCTCACTGTCAGAGCCAAGCTTTGGTTCCCCTGTCCCTGCCCCCCTAATCTGGAAAAGCCGGCTCACTCTCCAGACAGCCCCTTCCGTGTGTTCCCCCCTTCCTCCAGCTCTGAGGGGAGCAGCAGAAGCAGACAGAGAAATCACAGCCTTTATCTTATATTTTTGTAATGACAAACACAACATTGATGAACTGTCTTCTCTCTTTGGTGCACTGTTTGGCAATCTTGTATTTTCTCAGTGCCTGGGCTGTACTTCTCTTTGCTCTTGAGCTGATGTCACTCCATATAAGATGAGGTGTGCGTCATTGGGGGACACTAAGACTGGTGTCTTGGACACCTTTCCTCCTCCACCCCAACACTGGGAATCTGACAGTTGGTAAGTGCATCAGTGTGACTTTGGGTGCAGCCCAGGTGTTAATTGAGACTACAGATCACTTCTGGGTACCAAGGTTCATTTGGAGCCTTTGGTTTGTAAGGGATAGGGGGTTAAAAAGCCAGAAAATGTCTCCTAGAGCCAGACACGTGGGCTGTTCAACCATGTCAAGTTTAGGAGCGGTATCAGTGGGACCCCAAGTAAAGGCAATTTTGTAGTTACGAAAATATGGCTGATGAGACTCAGAAGTCACCTGGCTGCCTTTGAATAAAGGAAAGCATCTGAAACTCTAGTGGTGAGGATGAGCGAGTCTGTCAGTGTCCTGGTATGTCCTTACAGGAAGCTCTCCTGTCCTTCGGTCTTCTCATGAGCACTTACAGCCCAGGTTGGGCAGCAGGTGGAAGAGAAAAGGAAAGTGGATGGCATTTGTGATGGGATGGGTAGCTTAGTGTGTCCAGCAGCTCTCTCCTCCCTTCCCAGCTTGGCCCTGGGGACTGAGGTTGAGAGCTTCTATGCAGAAATCCTCCTAAAATGAAGTTAATTCTAATAGGAGCAAAGTGAGCCAAAGGCAGTGGGTGACAGTGGAGAGCTTTCCCAGAACATTGCTTGCATTCTGAAGGCTAAAGGAAACTCTCAGGTTACCAAATAATTCAGAGGTTTTTAACTACAAAGGAGTTCCTGGGTGACTGATTTCTTTTCATGCTTTGGCTTTCTGGAACTGATGGAAGAGATTTCAAATGGACCAATTGGTATTACTGCCTGCAAGTGGAGATTTGGAGCCATCCAGGGAACCCGTGGGATGTAGTTGCCACCACACCTCTGTGCAATTGAAGACACCAGTCATAAAACAGACTGTTTTGTCCCAAAGATTTTCTCCTCAGGTTTTCAGTTTCTTGTTTTATAAGACAAAAGTTCCACATAGGTAGGAGCTGTGAAGGTAGAGATTTGTTTCCTTTCTAGACCATGCACATAGCCAGGTGTGAATAACAGGGCTTGGGTATGGAACCTGGATATCACCATCACTTGAGAGTCAAGATGGGGATGTGGCAGCCTTCTCTGTGCCAGTCTTCTGTGTACCCTGCAGAAGCTGGCTGTAGTGACCACAGGAATAAGGTGAACAAGTCCCTGCGCTCCCAGCTTATCCTGTGTACTTAGGTGACTTTGACACACTCCAGCGTGCTTATGGACATTCGAATTTGTCTCCTTGCTGCTTGAGAAGCACTGGCTGGGTTAGGCCAGGAAGAAGCATCATAACCCTTTCTGGAGGAGTGGGGAGTATTTATACCACCAGGTCCGACCACTTCCCAACTTCCCACTTTTGTGTTCAGGACTTTGAGGGTTAAAGGGGAAATGCAGACTTGAGAAATGCATCCCAGGGTAGTGAAGGTGCCTGTGCTTCAAGTGCCACCTGCAGTGGGAGGTGATTTCTAGTCTGTCCCCTGATGTTCCCATGTCCATGGCTACAAGTGAAACTTGTAGCTTATGTGCCTTAACTTATGTGGCTCTGAGTACAGCTGGCTGTGAGTCATGGGAGATCCAGAGGGCCATGGAGAGTTCCAGCAAACCTGGCTGAAAGTCTCACACTGCTGCCTGTGACAGGACTGTGGCCTGCCTGAGCCTCTGTGTCCCACCTTCAGCCTGTACCTGGCAGTGACCTGGCTTGCAGGGAGCCTGGTGCTGCTTTCACTCTCTCTAGCTGGTTTTGTGTAGCTGGGTTGAGGCTCAGTGCTATAGTGCTTGCCTAGCGTGAAGCCCTGGGACCCTGCCCCAGCACCACACACACACACACACACACACACACACACACACTCACACACCATACATGGGTTAGGGAAATCATTTCTAACGGTGCCGAGGGATCCAGCATTTAAATAGTTTTCAAAAGCTCACAGTGAATGATAGTGTCATGTACATGATGAGCGCAGGCAGTACAGATTCATCCTGACATTGTCCTGTACTCTGTCAAATTTGAGAATCATTCCTCCAAGGCCATTTGTCATTTTACTAGCACATGCTTTTTATTTTTAAATTTAAGAATAATGGAAAAAATAGACATATCTAAGAGAAAATTAAAGACAGCTCTCTGATGGTTTGGAGAGAGACTATCACTTAAAGTATTGAGGCATCAAAATGGAAAGTGAAAGTTTCCTCCTGGTCTCCTGTCTGTCCTAAAGGTGAATGCCACAGTGATCTGTTGTGAGCCCTCTGGCAGAGCATAAACATGAGGTGTAACCTGTGTGCTGCTTCAAGTGCACACCACAGGGCTGTGTGGGGCACACGGGCGTGGCCTGCCCATAGGGCCTCTGCAGGTCATGGCTTTGGCCCCATGGCATTCATTTTCTTCTCTGGAATGGATGCATAGCAACAAGGCTCTATTAACAACACTGTTTGCAAAGAGGCCAGCTCCGTGCTCTGAATGAATAAAGGTGGGATTTTGTTGTCTTCCTTGTTGGAGGAAGTACTTAAAATACATTGTAATAACTTCCCTGGGAAAGGTGGCTGTTCTTTGGCAAGGAGGAGGGAAAGCAAAACAAAGGAGACTAAAGGGGCAAGAGACACAGGGCTCTGTCCTTCTTAAGGGCATCGTGAACTTTTCTTTTTTTCTTTTTCCTTAATTTTTTTTAGCAGTACTGGGCATCAACCCAGGGCCTTCACTCTGAGCTACATACCAAGCCCTTTCTATTTTTATTTTGAGACAGGTTCTTACTAAGTTGTTTAGGCTGGCTTTGAGCTTGCAGTCTTGTGCCTCAGCTTCCTGAGTAGCTGGGATTAGAGGTTTATACTATCATACCTGCCTCTCCTAACCTTTGCTACAGATTGTGGAAAGTTGGAAGCTACAAGAGGTAGGGGAAGGCAGTTTTCCTCTCTTTGGGCTAGGAGAGAGGTGAGGGTAGAGGAAGGAAGAGGAACGCTGGAGAACTGTGGATATAGATGAGTTGAAATGTGCAATATTGGCATAAGCGTTCCTTTTACCTCCCCAGATTCACGGAAATCCCTGTGGAATTAACCTCCTGACGGGTGACCCGCTGTCTGACAGCTGTGTTTCCCTGCTTGCTTGTCTCTGGTCTCCTCCAGTAAGGAGATCGGGATTTGTTTAATTGAACTGTGGTCCTGGTAAAGCACACTGCACATTTCTGTCATCAACTTCCCTCGCTTGAATTACTCTGCCTAGCTTTCCTTTTAGAAGAAATTCTACCTGCTCTGCATTACGCCCAAGGATGTGAGTGGAGGCTCTGGCCAGAATGTGCCTGAGGAGCTCATTTGAAAGGGTTGTGCATCCAGAGGGCTCATGTAATGAGAAACATTTGATTCCTTTCTTGTAACGGGCAAGAATTATGCACAAAATTGTATTTGGGCTTCACCTTGACCTTTCTGTTTGAACTATACCCTCCCTCACTGACAAAATGTCCTGTGGCTGAGAGATTTCTGGCCAAACTTTTGTAATTCAACTTAAAATCTTTCCCTTCTGCTTTTGTTTGTTTTTTTTTTTTTCTTTTTAAAGGGCAGAACACGGAGGAATCCCACTGTCTTCTTTTTCAAGGCTATAAAATGAGAACCACACATTTAGCCCCAGTCCAACTTGGGAATTCTAAACAGTTGGAACAATTACAGTCAATTGAGTCTGGTCCCTTTTTTGGAGTTGAAACCAGTTGAAAATCCCTGTTTCACTGTAAGGAGTTTTGCGTTAGGAGATGTAGCCTGTGATTCTCATTGAGACACACATCTGTTTCTGCGGCGGCCAAATCCAAAAGTGGAATCCCAATGACAGTTTTCACGGGTGATAGAATTTCGACTGTATTACAATTTAACCACCTGGCATGCCTGTACTCTCCCTTTTTCTTGTGAAGGATGAAATAAGCCGATCAAGTGTTCATTCAGCTATTAAATTACATTTCCATCCTGTAACATTTTATTTCCTTTCTCATTGGTGAGCTATATTGATTCGATGGATCACCTCCAGTGTCTTTTTTTTTTAATACCCACTACACTATTTTAAATTTCAAAATCTGCCCTTCTCTGATGGGTGTGGCTTAAGCTTTATAAGAACTTCTTTTATCCAAAACAAACAATAAAACAAAATTCTTGAGGTAACTAGATAGTTTTGATTTAACAATGAATCTCTTGGATACA